TTAAAGTCAGTATAGACTCTTTGACACACCCACACCGAGATCTTTGTTGTTTGCCAGTGTTTCCCCCATCTGCAGACCGTAACAGTTCGCCATATGGGTCTTGTGAGGATGGTGTGGTCATCGGCCGTCTGCAGCGAGCGCTGAGGGCGGAAAAATTCCAAGTTACATCATCTGCAGGGCTGTTTTCTGCCCAAAAAGAGGGAAAGTGCAAGCACTCTCTCCAGTGGGATGATGAGGTGGCAGAAAGACTAGCGGGAGGGGTGTAGGAAACGAGAACACCCCAGCCAGTAGTTTGGGAAAGACGGCAACTGCAAAGGCATGTTTCCTTGAATTGCGGCTGCAACGGTGTAAGGCTCATTAGCCTGGGAGGGAACCACCAGCTGGCGGGGAAAAGATGATGTCGAAATATTTTTGGGCACTGAAATCACGCCTGGGACTTGTGGCAGGCCGTTGTCATTGGGATGAAGGAGCCAAAACGATGCTGTTCTCAGAGAACTCTGAGGCACCAGCAGAAGGATGCGCAAGTCATTTATCGCTTATCCTAACAATGAATTCATTCTCCGAGCGCTGGATTATGAGGGAAGGGTGAATGTGTCGAATTTGGTTTTCCAGAAGGAGATCTACAACGGGGCGTTCGGAGCAAGGCCCTACTTAGCCTTGCTGATAAAAGAAGAAGAAACCCAAAAGACTTGCACAACAAAATATTATTTAAGGAGTTGAGTGAGCCTGGCTTATGAGCTAATTATTTAGCTTGGCTATGTGACAGGTCCAGTGATAACTGCCTGCGAGGGTGAGGAATTTGCTAAGCGCTAAAAGTCGAGAGAGCCATTGTGTCATGGCATCAAGGAGCAGGAAGGGCCTGTTTGATTTGTGAGTGTGCCCTTCTTTCCTTCTCCCGTGTGTGAATTATCCTACCCAAATAACTTGAATACACATTTCTACTTAGCAAGGAACAATCCTGATTGGGGCCTGAAAACAACACTGGCCTTCCACAACAGGAATATCCAAAGTAAGGTCAAGGTAAAGGGACCCCTGACCATTAGGTCCAGTCGTGGCCGACTCTGGGGTTGTGGCGCTCATCTCACTTTATTGGCCGAGGGAGCCGGCGTACAGCTTCCGGGTCATGTGGCCAGCATGACTAAGCCGCTTCTGGCGAACCAGAACAGCACACAGAAACACCGTTTACCTTCCCGCTGGAGCGGTACCTATTTATCTACTTGCACTTGGATGTGCTTTTGAACTGCTAGGTTGGCAGGAGCTGGGACCGAGCAACGGGAGCTCACCCCGTCGCAGGGATTCGAACCACCGACCTTCTGATCGGCAAGTCCTAGGCTCTGTGGTTTAACCCACAGCGCCATCCAATGTGGTGCCTTCCAAATAATTTTGGACTACAACTCCCACCATCCCATGCTGGCGGGGGTTGATGGGAGTTGTAGTCCACAACATTCTGGATGTTCCCACATTGGTGGCCCCTGTCTGCGCAGCACTGGAATTTTTAAAGAAGCTAAGACACTGTCTTCCACTAACTCAGGCCATCGTACTCAGTAGTATCGACACGGACTGGTAGCAGCTCTCCAGAAAGTTGCTTAAAAGGAATCTCTATCACAGTCCTATTTGTACCGGCCAGGAATGGAACCTGGAAAGCATGTGGTACAGGACTTAGCTAAGGGCCTTCTGCTAAATGAGACTTTTTTTGGGGGGGGGGCGACAAATTCTGCCATGGAGAAATCAGAAGAAAATGTGCAGATTTAATGTATCTCCATATGTTTGCTTTGCTTAAAGTAAAGGTAAAGGGACCCCTGACCATTAGGTCCAGTCATGACCGACTCTGGGGTTGCGGCGCTCATCTCGCTTTATTGGCCGAGGGAGCCGGCGTACAGCTTCCGGTTCATGTGGCCAGCATGACTAAGCTTCTGGTGAACCAGAGCAGCGCACGGAAACGCCGTTTACCTTCCCACCAGAGCGGTACCTACTTATCTACTTGCACTTTGACGTGCTTTCAAACTGCTAGGTTGGCAGGAGCAGGGACCGAGCAACGGGAGCTCACCCCGCCGCGGGGATTCGAACCGCCAACCTTCTGATCGGCAAGTCCTAGGCTCTGTGGTTTAACCCACAGCGCCACCTTCAAAAATCCAGGGATTATTTGGGTGAATAGAATAGAACAGAGTAAAGTTGGAAGGGACCCAAGGGTCATCTAGTCCAACCCCTGCAATGCAGGAATCAAACACTGCTCCAGAACCATGAGGTCTAGAAACTTAAAAAATAAATAAATCTGCAAGTTTCAGGATAGTGACTTTCACAACCAGAAAAGAGTTTCAGCGCAAAAAGTTGAAGCAAATGCACAGAAAGTCCAGATACTGAAAGCAGCACAAAAACCCCGGCGCCAGAGATTCATGATACACAGCCGTGAAACCTTAGAGTGTAGGATTGCCTCCGGGGGCGGGAAAGTTTTAGCACTTCAACCTCTTGGAATTAGGAGAGCGAATAACATCACTATGAACAAATCTCGTCTGGCAGAGACATACAGCTCAGATGACCTAATATTAACTCTCTCTCTCAGGCCTCTCCTCCCAGAGAAGGCCCAGAGCACTTTGCAAAGCAAATGTGGAGGATCTGGAAACGAGGACGTCCGAAAACATTCTGCCAAAAACATCTACGTGATGTTAACAGTTAACGCGAATGCAGGAGGGGAGATTTACAAGCGAGGACCAGGTTTTCCTGGTTTTTGCCAATTCTGTTTGCAAATGCCCTTCCCTCACTGACTGCCACCCTCTGCTTCTTCCATTTTCAGAGCTTGGCTGGAATAGGGGAAAACAGTGGGTGGGGAAAAGATTAGGCATGAATTGTCCCCTACGGAATTTGTTTCCGACATCCCAACTTTCCGACATAGAGCTCAGGACAGCAATTGTGGTGTGGTTTGCCAGCACACAGTCACACACAGCACAGAACCTAAGGATGTTAAGAAGAGTCTGGCCTGCTGGATCACGCCAATAGACCTTCCAGACCATCCTCCTCCTCCTTCTTCTATTTTATTTATACCCTGCCCTCCCCAGCCAAGTCTGGGTTCAGACTGGGCTAACACCAGGTATAAAAACAATTGATTGAAATACAACTTAAAAAATAAGATTAAAATACAACATTAAAATGCAGCCTCATTTCAGTAGAAACTCAAACCAAAAACTTTTTTGGGGATGAAAACATCAAATCTTCACCAAGGCCAACTATCCAGACTGGTTCTACATGGGCCAGAAAAAAAGCCAGGGAAGTCCCCAAATAGGAGTTCCAACACAGAAGGAGAAAGGAAAGAGGGGGAGGGGATCAATGTGATTGCAAGCCAAAGGCCAGGCGGAACAACTCTGTCTTACAGGCCCTGCGGAAAGAAATCAGATCCTGCAGGGCCCTGGTCTCATGAGACAGAGCGTTCCACCAGGCGGGAGCCAGTGCTGAAAAGGCCCTGGCTCTGGTTGAGGCTATTCTGACTTCCTTAGGGACCTCTAGGGTGTTGCTATTTATGGACCTTAAGGTCCTCTGTGGGGCATACCGGGAGAGGTGGTTCCGTAGGTACGAGGTTCCTAGGCCGTGAAGGGCTTTAAAGGTTAAAACCAGCACCTTAAATCTGACCCTGTACTCCCCCAGGAGCCAGTGCCGCTGGAAAAGCACTGGGTGAATATGCTCCCATGGCAGGGACCCCGTGAGGAGCCTCGCTGCAGCATTCTGCACCAGCTGGAGTTTGTGGGACAGCTTCAAGGGCAGCCCCACGTAGAGCGAATTACAGTAGTCAAGCCTGGAGGTGACCGTCGCATGGATCACTGTGGCCAGGTCGGGGCGGGAAAGGTAAGGGACCAACTGCCAATCGGATGCCCCCACGCTGGACCTCGGTGAAATAGACCCTTTCCCCGCTCACTCTCTTCCAGGAAATGAGATCCCGGGAAATGACTCAAACAAGGAGATGAAAACACATGTTACAGTGAAGAAAGAGGGGAAGTGGTGTTCACACATGACAAGTGATGTACACATGTACAAAGAGTCTGCAAAGATGCTTCTGTGAATCACTGTACGGGTAGTGAATTCGAAAAATCAACACAAAAACCGACGGAATGAATGTATATTACAGATCAGATGTGCAGCTGGCCACATGTTCAATGTGTGGGACATTATTGCAGTCAAACCAACAATTCATGTTTTCCCAGATAGGCATATGAAGGGGCCGAGGGTCATAGAGCTTTCCTGTAAAGTTTGCTAGAGAGAACTCTTGTGAGGTCACTTCCTTTGTCTGCCATGGCAGGAAACTGTGACACTACATACCTCCTTCTTGTCTGGGAAACTCTCTTTCCGCATCATCCCTCCAAGCTGACCACACGTGCGTGTCTGAGCTCTGGAATTTAGGATTTTGTACTTTTGTAACTTAGATAGTAAGGGATGCGGGTGGCGCTGTGGGTAAAAGCCTCAGCGCCTAGGGCTTGCCGATCGAAAGGTCGGCGGTTCGAATCCCCGCAGCGGGGTGCGCTCCTGTTGTTCGGTCCCAGCGCCTGCCAACCTAGCAGTTCAAAAGCACCCCCGGGTGCAAGTAGATAAATAGGGACCGCTTACCAGCGGGAAGGTAAACGGCGTTCCGTGTGCGGCTCTGGCTCGCCAGATGCAGCTTGTCACGCTGGCCACGCGACCCGGAAGTGTCTCCGGACAGCGCTGGCCCCCGGCCTCTTGAGTGAGATGGGCGCACAACCCTAGAGTCTGTCAAGACTGGCCCATACGGGCAGGGGTACCTTTACCTTAACTTAGATAGTAGTTATAATAAACCAGGGGTCAGCAACCTTTTTCAGCCGTGGGCCGGTCCACCGTCCCTCAGATCATGTGGTGGGCTCGACTATAGTTTTTTTGGGGGGAAATGAACAAATTCCTATGCCCCACAAATAACCCAGAGATGCATTTTAAATAAAAGGAAACATTCTACTCATGTAAAAACACTCTGATTCCTGGACTGTCCGCAAGCTGGATTGAGAAGGCGATTGGGCCGGATCCAGCTCCTGGGCCTTAGGTTGCCTACCCCTGTTATAAACCTGCCTTCCTTTTGCTACTGTAACTGTTGCTTCAAGACAGAGATTCTGTAAGTAAATACTACTTTTACTTCTTCACAAAACACTACAGTAGTACCTCGGGTTACATACGCTTCAGGTTACATACGCTTCAGGTTACAGACTCCACTAACCCATAAATAGTACCTCGGGTTAGGAACTTTGCTTCAGGATGAGAACAGAAATCATGTGGCAGCGGCAGTAGGAGGCCCCATTAGCTAAAGTGGTGCTTCAGGTTAAGAACAGTTTCAGGTTAAGAACGGACCTCTGGAACGAATTAAGTACTTAACCCGAGGCACCATTGTATGTGTGCATATGTGCACATGTTATTTTTAAGTGGGGGGGGAAGGGATGCCTTAAAGGGGTTTACCCCCGGGGAAAGTCCAGTCTGCTTTCCAAGCACCCTGGATTATTATTTCTAGAATCAAACTTGTCTTAACTTCCGCATTTAAAGCAGCAAAAGATGGTAGTCGCTCATGTGAGCAAGGAAGGACAATAACAATATATTCTCTCCTAGTGTACCCATGTATGATCATATGCAATATTCTAGAAACAGTCACAAAACCCAAACTATTGATGGAAAGATATTGCCCTATTTGGACCCTGAAGCACCTGTCCGTAACCTAAGCCTGATGTTTAGGCTTGACCTGACCTGACCTGACCTTTCACACCACAATTCTTGATGTTTCCTTCTCCTGGGTTGTGATCCACCCCTTTGCCTCTGCTCTGCACGTTTGTCTCGCCTAACCAGCCCTCCAAATTATCTCAGCAGCACACAGCCACCCCCCCCCCCGCTGGTACTTGTGGAAATAAAAAGTTTACGTCCTGACATTTAAAGATGCTGCCAGCATATTAATAGCCTGCTGGGTTGAAAATAACACTGGCTTAGCCTGCAAATACCTTGAGACTCACAAGTCATAAACACCATTGCTTTTTATAGTAGAATTAAATATTTGGCCTTGGGGGTTATTAAACAGGGATGGGCACGTATCCTGCTATACAGCGGACAGCTCTGTATGTGAAGGGCTGGGTGATCTTCCTTCCTTCCAAATTTGCTTCTATATATATGTTATCACATATATCACATGATACTATCATATACTGCACATATATAAGTGTGATATATATGTTATCACAGTGAAATCCTGGGCATATCTTTGGTTTGTCCTCCTTTGGGAGGTGCGCGGGTGGTGCTGTGGTCTAAACCACTGAGCCTCTTGGGCTTGCTGATCGGAAGGTCGGCGGTTCGAATCCCCGCGACGGGGTGAGCTCCCGTTGCTCTGTCCCAGCTCCTGCCAACCTAGCAGTTCGAAAGCACACCAGTGCAAGTAGATAAATAGGTACCGCTGTGGTGGGAAGGTAAACGGCATTTCCGTGCGCTCTGGACAAACGCCGGCTCCCTCGGCCTGAAAGCAAGATGAGTGCCGCAACCCCATAGTCACCTTTGACTGGACTTAACCGTCCAGTGGTCCTTTATCTTTTTTTTACCCTCTTTTGGGGTGACGCATTGCACAATGACATCCAACTCCCCCCCAGTCCTGACCTCACTATCACTTTGCCCCTCCCACTGTGGATCACTGCTACAGCTCTGCCCACCATGTGAGGTGCTAAAAGGTAGGGCAAAATTTACACCCTCTCCAACCCTGAAGCCCCCTGATCTCACCAGGGAGTGCTCACAATCACTAAATCAAAATATGAAGTTTTAACGCTAGATGACCAACAAATACTCCCTCCACACCACTTGTGATTCCTTTAAAATCTCAAGTATGCCCCTTTACTAGGACTTGCGATCGAAAGGTCGCGGTTCGAATCCCTGCGGCGGGGTGCGCTCTGTCGTCGGTCCAGCGCCTGCAACCTAGCAGTTCGAAAGCACCTTTGGGTGCAAGTAGATAAATGGGACGCTGTGGTGGGAGGTAAACGGCCCGTGCGCTCTGGACAAACGCGGCTCCCTGGCCGAAGCAGATAGTGCGCACCCATAGTCACCTTGACTGGCTTAACGTCCAGTGTCCTTATCTTTTTTTTACCTTTTTGGGTGACGCATTGCACATGACATCCAACTCCCCCCAGTCTGACCCACTATCACTTGCCCTCCCACTGTGGATACTGCTACGCTCTGCCACATGTGAGGTCTAAGGTAGGGCAAAATTTACCCCTCTCAACCCTGAGCCCCTGATCTCACCAGGGAGTGCTCACAATCACTAAATCAAAATATGAAGTTTTAACGCTATGACAAAAATCCTCACACCATTGTGAGTGCCCCAGTACATGTCCAGACTATGCCAGGTCCTGCAAGCCTCAGCACCTAGGACTTGCCGATCGAAAGGTCGGCGGTTCGAATCCCTGCGGCGGGGTGCGCTCCTGTCGTTCGGTCCCAGCGCCTGCCAACCTAGCAGTTCGAAAGCACCTTTGGGTGCAAGTAGATAAATAGGGACCGCTTACTAGCGGGAAGGTAAACGGTGTTCCGTGTGCTGCGCTGGCTTGCCAGAGCAGCGATGTCACGCTGGCCACGTGACCCGGAAGTGTCTGCGGACAGCACTGGCTCCCGGCCTATAGAGTGAGATGAGCGCACAACCCTAGAGTCTGTCAAGACTGGCCCGTACGGGCAGGGGTACCCTTACCTTTACTTACATATAAGCTCCCGTTGTGAGCTTATATGTAAGTTGTTGTGAGCTCCCATTGCTCAGTCCCAGCTCCTGCCAACCTAGCAGTTTGAAAGCACGTCAAAGTGCAAGTAGATAAATAGGTACCGCTCCAGAGGGAAGGTAAACGGCGTTTCCGTGCACTGCTCTGGTTTGCCAGAAGCGGCTTAGTCATGCTGGCCACATGACCCGGAAGCTGTACGCCAGCTCCCTCGGCCAATAAAGCGAGATGAGTGCCACAACCCCAGAGTCGGTCACGACTGGACCTAACAGTCAGAGGTCCCTTTACCTTTATTTACATATAAGGCCCTTGGCAACTGTGGAGTAGGTTCCCTACCCTCCTTTCCCTTATTGCCATGTGGCAACATGGAGGTGGGCTTTCTCAGTGGTGGCCCCAGTGGCAAGGAATGCTCTCCCTGCTGAAATATGAGAGACCCCCATCAGTACTGGCATTCTGCCAGCTCTTGAAGACACACCTGTTTAAGACAAACATTGGTTTGCTCTCCCGACCTAGACCTCCTGTTTTACTTGGCTTTTTGAAATCGTGGTGCAGTTTAAATGGCCCTTTTAGCATGTGCACATTTCATAGAATCATAGAGTTGGAAGAGACCACAAGGGCCATCGAGTCCAACCCCCTGCCAAGCAGGAAACACCATCAGAGCACTCCTGACATATGGTTGTCAAGCCTCTGCTTAAAGACCTCCAAAGAAGGAGACTCCACCACACTCCTTGGCAGCAAATTCCACTGTCGGACAGCTCTTACTGTCAGGAAGTTCTTCCTAATGTTGAGGTGGAATCTTCTTTCTTGTAGTTTGGATCCATTGCTCCGTGTCCGCTTCTCTGGAGCAGCAGAAAACAACCTTTCTCCCTCCTCTATATGACATCCTTTTATATATTTGAACATGGCTATCATATCACCCCTTAACCTCCTCTTCTCCAGGCTAAACATGCCCAGCTCCCTTAGCCGTTCCTCATAAGGCATCGTTTCCTTTTTTTAAAAAATATTTTTTATTGCGTTTCTTTCCATAGGTTCACAATTTCAGAAGCATATAAAAATAAGAAACAAGAAACAGATTATAGATATAAGAGAAAATAGAAAAAGAATAGATATGTCCTTTCATAGTTTATCACTACCAATTGGACCTCCTCACATCTTCCAGACTTTGCGTTCTTTGCGATAACAATGTCAGCAATTTGTTACCTTATTTCGCAACTTACTGTAACTTTCAATTATTATGTTTCCAAATTCAAAATGTTGTAATTCAATTTTAGTACCTTTAAAATAAACATAATATATTTGTTTCAAATTGTCTCCTCTTTTTTTGTTATCACTTACTTTACCATTTACCTAATCAAATTGCTAAAGCATAACATTTCCTAATCGTGCACAATCTTAACATTCATACAGCTTATAATGTTTTTGCAGATAGTCTTTAAATTTTTTCCAGTCCTCCTCTATTGTTTCCTCGCTCAGATCTCGGATTCTGCCAGTCATTTCAGCTAGTTCCATATAGTCCATCAACTGCGTCTGCCATTCCTCCAGTGTGGGTAAATCTTGTGTCTTCCAGTGCTTTGCGATGAGAATTCTTGCTGCTGTGGTTGCATACATAAACAAAGTTCTGTCCTTCTTTGACACCTTCCGGTCCACCATGCCCAGAAGGAAGGCCTCCGGTTTCTTAGGAAAGGTATATCTAAATACCTTTTTCAGTTCGTTATAAATCATTTCCCAAAAGGCCTTCACTTTTGGGCAGGTCCACCACAGGTGAAAGAATGTCCCTTCTGCCTCTTGACATTTCCAACATTTATTATCAGACAGGTGATATATCTTAGCTAACTTGACTGGGGTCATGTACCACCGGTATACCATTTTCATAATGTTTTCTTTCAAGGCACTACATGCCGTGAACTTCATTCCGGTGTTCCATAACCTTTCCCAGTCCTCCGACATAATGTTATGCCCAACATCCTGTGCCCATTTTATCATGGCAGATTTAACTGTCTCATCCTGTGTGTTCCATTTAAGCAGCAAGTTATACATTCTCGAAAGTGCCTTAGTCTTTGGTTCTAACAGTTCCGTCTCCAATTTCAATTTTTCCACCTGGAAACCAACTTTTTTATCCATTTTAAAAACCTCTTGAATTTGAGCATGATGTAGCCAGTCTCACACCTTACTTTTTAGTTTATCCTGGCTCTGCAACTTCCAATTATCTCCAATTCTTTCAATTATTTCCCAATATTTTGGCCCATAAGGCATCGTTTCCAGGCCTTTGACCATTTTGGTTGCCCTCCTCTGGACACGTTCTAGTTTGTCAGTGTCCCTCTTGAACTGTGGTGCCCAGAACTGGACACAGTACTCCAGGTGAGGTCTGGCCAGAGCAGAATACAGTGGCACTATTACTTCCCTTGATCTAGATGCTATCCTCCTATTGATTTGAACTGTGGGTTTTTATTCCAGTGTTTCAATGGTGCTTTTCCGCTGTGCCTTTTAATTATGTTGCTGTTGTTGTTTTGCAATTGGCTTTATACTTGCAAGCTGCTTAGAAGCCACGGCGGCGACTAAGCGACGTGTGAATTAATTTACTGCTACTGTTATTATTGATTACCGTTAACAACGTCAGCAACATGAAAATCCCTGCCGTCCTATCATGATCTCATCCTGTTGGGAGCACAATAGCAGAGATCATCAGCGTGTGACTCTGTTATGGGCATGGATGACAGCAAACTCCGATTGCCTGGAGGACCTAGTCAGCTGGGAACTAGCTGTCAGCAAGGAAGATGGCTGAGATTTGACAGCTGGAGGAGTTGGAAGGAAAAGTGGTTCTCAATGAGTATTTCTCCCCTGTGTAGGTCTGGATTAAGGAAGACCAACTTTTCTGCTTATTTCTCCTCATACAGTGGTACCTCGGGTTAAGTACTTAATTCATTCCGGAGGTCCGTTCTTAACCTGAAACTGTTCTTAACCTGAAGCACCACTTTAGCTAATGAGGCCTCCCGCTGCCGCCGCGCCATCGGAGCATGATTTCTGTTCTCATCCTGAAGCAAAGTTCTTAACCTGAAGCACGATTTCTGGGTTAGCGGAGTCTGTAACCTGAAGCGTATGTAACCTGAAGCGTATGTAACCCGAGGTACCACTGTATTTTATGGTATTTTTCTTCCGTTTACCTCTGTAATGCAATACAAACTTCTTTCCTTTCCAGACTCCCATCTGCTTTATTCCAGTCACTGTGCTAACAACTGCATCTATCTGGAGTGTGTTCACAATGAAGAACGGAGGGGTGAAATTTCTCCTGGACTAAACTGCCGGTAGGTTATTGTCATCCAGCAAGAAAACATCTCCCTAATGGACACGCATACCTGCGACGCCTGTCTCGTACGAACCGGCTCCTCCTTTTGAGAGCCTGTTCTGAATTGGCAGAAAGCAGATAGATGGGTAGCTTTTTATCTTCAGGAAGAAAGAGCCAGGAAATGAATCAAACATCATCCATTTGACACAAGGCCTCACCTCCTTCTCTCCCATTAAGCGAGGAAGACAATTAGTGATCAAGCCCACTAGCCAAGAGACTGAGTTCAGGGGTTTGGGGTGGCCAGAGACTCACATAGGGCTGCTGAACCCCAGACTGTGTTTTGCTAGATTTCATTGGTAATTCCACCTTCTTTTCAGTATTTACTATTTAAGTGTCAAACCTAACAAAGGAAGGGGGAAAAACAGGTTCGTTTTTTAAAATAAAAGGACAGAAATCACACACGCAACGACAACACACAAGACAGGCTGTCAACTCACAATGAGAATGCAATAGCTATCACGTGGGTGGTGCTGTAGTCTAAACCACTGCGCCTCTTGGGCTTGCCGATCAGAAGGTCGGTGGTTCGAATCCCTGTGACGGGGTGAGCTCCCATTGCTCTGTCCCAGCTCCTGCCAACCTAGCAATTCGAAAGCACACCAGTGCAAGTAGATAAATAGGTACCACTGTGGTGGGAAGGTAAACGGCGTTTCTGTGCACTCATGGAGTCCCGTTGTGCCAGAAGCGGTTTAGTCATGCTAGCCACATGACCTGGAAATCTGTTTGTGGACAAACACCAGCTCCCTCGGCCTGAAAGCAAGATGAGCGCCGCAACCCCATAGTCGCCTTCGACTGGACTTAACTGTCCAGGGGTCCTTTACCTTTACATAGCTATCAGTATTTTAGAGATCAATTAAACAACATATGAGTAAAAATAAAAACAATAGCCATCAGTACTTCCATCTAAAATTACAGACAACTCCCCATGCGCATTCAAGGCATGCGCGACCACACACTTGCGCATCGCTGCGAACCCGCAAACAGCACAAAAGGGGCAAAATTGCACAAAAACAGTATTTAGCAATCCCAGAAGCCTTTGCACCAGCCTTTGAGTCCAGAGAAGAGTTGGAGTTTTAGAGGGGTGGTTTGTGGGAGCAATTGTGGTGGAGTTGGGTGGATTTTTGGTTTTTTAAAGTGTTTTTAAAGAGTTTCCAGAGGTTTAAATGGTGTTTGCAGGTATATATGTAAAAATATTGTAGAAAATGCATTAAACCACACGACTCAACATACGCTGAGGCTGCATTCTGTGGGTAATGCATAAAGCCAAAATTATGTATAGTCGAAACACATTGACTTTGATGGTGGGTGGGATTGCCAAAGTCTCTCCCCCCCCCCAATGCCCTGCCCCCATTCCATCCCCTTTTTATTTTATTTTTTTGGGTGCCCAAAGCATAAAGCTGAATGTGCAGAAGTTAAATGCGCGTATGTCGCAAGATACATGGGAAAACTGCATGCAAAAATTTGTACAGGGAAAGAAATGCTTACTCAGATGCCGTTGGATTTTTTTCCACAAGGTCTTAAAAAAAATGCACACATGGAGGTGGAAAAATGGCAAACTGAAATTAGGTTGGAAAAACAAAAAAAACTGAGAGAAACCGCAATGGTCAGATCCATCCATCCCTACTCCTACACGCACAGGGCCTTCAACTCCCAAACCAAATCCCGGAATGGAAAAAAAGAAATCTATACTTCTAAATCTGGAACTACCAAGGACTAAGGGAACAAATGAGAGTTGTTAGGGGGGGGTCCCAAATCTTAAGCGATCTTGAGCCTATCCTTTGAGGGGACTTTCTGCACAAGCTGGAGGGGGTCCAAGGCATTTGCACCCACGACATTCCCTGAGAGTTTTTTAAAAAGGCCTAGGGAACTTTTCTAGGAATGTGGAATTGGCATCCCAGGCCAAAACAAACAAAGAGGAGGTGGATGATGACCTTCCCATCGGAGTTTATTTTTAAATAGACGTGTGTATACATAAAGGGGAAAAACAAAATGAGTCCTTTAAAAATTTAATAATAATAATAATAATAATAATAATAATAATAATAATAATAATGGGTTTCTGGGTACTGGAGGGCAAATCTTTTAATTAAAATTGTCTCAGAAGGTTGAAAACTTTTATCTTCCGTCCCAAGCACCCTACAAGAGGTGACCTTTGTGTCCAAATAATTACGGGAAGGCGTCTAAAATTACGAGCTTTCTCTCTGCATGGTGAAAAGGATTCTGTCTCCTCCCCCCCCCAAAAAAAGTGCTCCTTAATTAACGGGTGGAAGCTTTTCAAAATCCCCACCGCGCAACTGTAGCCGTTGCCACGGCAACGGCAAAACCACTCGCCGGCCCGACAATGAATGGAGCAGCTTCGCGGAAATGCTTAATATTCGCTTTTTAAAAATCTCGCAAATTCCCAGGGAGGGAGCCCTGTCCGTCTTACCGCTAAGGTAACCTTGGGCGATCGTGCCGGTGAAATATTCATAGGAAGGGAAGACACGTTTGCTGGCCTCATCATCTCCCTTTCACCGCTCAGGAATTGGCAGAGATAAAATTAGAGCTCGTAGGTTTAGGTGTGGAAGGGGGGGGGGGAAGCAATCACCCCCTAATGGAGCAAGACATCCAATCAGTTGCAGAAATGGTAAAAAAGGGGGTTTAGGGTTCATCCAAGGGGATGCGGGTGGCGCTGTGGGTTAAACCACAGAGCCTAGGACTTGCCGATCAGAAGGTCGGCGGTTCAAATCCCCGCAACGGGGTGAGCTCCCGTTGCTCGGTCCCTGCTCCTGCCAACCTAGCAGTTCGAAAGCACTTTGAAGTGCAAGTAGATAAATAGGTACCGCTCTGGCAGGAAGGTAAACGGCGTTTCCGTGCACTGCTCTGGTTCGCCAGAAGCGGCTTAGCCATGCTGGCCACATGACCCAGAAGCTGTACGCCGGCTCCCTTGGCCAATAAAGCGAGATGAGTGCCGCAACCCCAGAGTCGTCCGCAACTGGACCTAATGGTCAGGGGTCCCTTCACCTTTAGGGCTCATCCAACACTTCTGCCCCCCCTCCCCAACCCACCGTTTACTGCTGAATCGGAGCAAATGACGATTGGGTTTTCTTCGAGTGGCTGGGAAACCCAGCCAGATGGGTGGGGTATAAATAATAATAATAATACAGTGGTACCTTGGGTTAAGTACTTAATTTGTTCCGGAGGTCCGTTCTTAACCTGAAACTGTTCTTAACCTGAAGCACCACTTTAGCTTATGGGGCCTCCAGCTGCTGCTGCTGCGCCACTGGAGCACGATTTCTGTTCTCATCCTGAAGCAAAGTTCTTAACCCGAGATAATATTTCTGGGTTAGCGGAGTCTGTAACCTGAAGCCACTGTACCACTGTAATAATAATAATAATAATAATAATAATAATAATAGTAGTAGTAGTAGTAGTAATAATAGAAATAAAGAATAATAAAAAATAAGAATAAATAAAGAATAATCATCCCTACACAGTGCCCAGGCTTCTGCCCCGGAAAGGTCACTTCAGTGCTGTCATTGCAGCCGTGTGACTTCACCCCGGAGGCGAACTCCATTGTCTTTCGAGACAGACGGATGCCAACAACATGACCAAAAACGGAAACCAAAGAGGATTGTGGTTGGTCTAGCCTTGACCTCCATTTCACGAAACGCTGGTCCTTCAGCTTGGACTTAAACATGGGGGTAAAGTGCTGGCACGTTTGCCTGCTTAAATTCATGGTGTGTTGTCATCTTGGTCTCATGGTGGAGAGGGAGAACAGAAGTTGCACACCCTCCTGTGCCCTGAATCCAGCAGATGTTGTTGTTGTTTAGTCGTTTAGTCGTGTCCGACTCTTCGTGGCCCCATGGACCAGAGCACGCCAGGCACTCCTGTCTTCCACTGCCTCCCGCAGTTTGGTCAAACTCATGCTGGTAACCTCAAAAACACTATCCAACCATCTCGTCCTCTGTCGCCCCTTCTCCTTGTGCCCTCCATCTTTCCCAGCATCAGTGTCTTCTCCAGGGAGTCTTCTCTTCTCATGAGGTGGCCAAAGTACTGGAGCCTCAGCTTCAGGATCTGTCCTTCCAGTGAGCACTCAGGGCTGATGTCCTTCAGAATGGAGAGGTTTGATCTTCTTGCAGTCCATGGGACTCTCAAGAGTCTTCTCCAGCACCATAATTCAAAAGCATCAATTCTTCGGCGATCAGCCTTCTTTATGGTCCAGCTCTCACTTCCATACATCACTACTGGGAAAACCATGGCTTTAACTATACGGACCTTTGTTCGCAAGGTGACGTATCTGCTTCTCAAGATGCTGTCTAGGCCTGTCATTGCCCTTCTCCCAAGAAGCAGGCGTCCAGCAGATAACACTCCCAAAAATGTTTGGGAGGAAAGGTGGGGAAGGAACTGGTGAAGAAAACATCTAAGTCCACAAATCGCTTAACTCAGGCCAAAGAATCGGCCCTGCTGCCTCTCAATGATTTCAGTCTAGTCAAGATTTTTTTCTAGCATTTTTGATCCCTTTGGACTTCAGATGCTGAATGTGCTGTTATGGTTGACAGCGATTCATCCTGGTGCGACAATTGACAGGATGACTGTCCTGTAAATAAGGCAGCGGAGGGAGATAGGAAGGTCGTGAAACTTGAAAGCCTTTTTTTGAAGACGCAAGGACCGGCCTGTGCAAATCTTCTTGTAACTCTAAGTTCTTTTCATGCAAAACCCACAGAATGCCATGTGCTCGTTCCCCTCAGCCACTCCACAAAAAGCGCCGTGGGGCAGAACCTATCCAAAAATAAGTAAACTTAAGGCTTATTATCTTTAGTGTGGCAGCTCCTATCCTACTCTTTGGAACTCACCGCCCATTGACATTAAGCAGGTGCCGTCACTGTGTTATTTTAGTGCCTATAGGCAAACCTATCCAGACATTTAAAGTTGATGCTTATTTCAATCCGTAATCTGAGCTTATAATGTATACTTTTAACTGTTTGGCTTTTTAGAAACAAACCTTGATTTTTATTGAAAACCCTGATGTGTATTTTGTATTTTTATTTTTTACTTAGACTTGCAGACGATTGAACCAGGGAACTTCTGCATGTGAGGCTACTGCTGAGCTGTAGTCCTCCCTGATGCTCAAACGCCGAACAAGAGAGCTAAATCTGCCTGCCCCCTTTCTACGCTACGCGTCTCCCTGCAAGGTCAGCTGGCAAAACCTTGGATCTCAGCCACCTCGCAGCTCAGTTTTCGCAATTTTTCTTAATTAAAGCGCAAGGAGGAGAGGTTGTGTAAACAGCTTTGCTTTGAAATCAAAGCTCAGGTCAAATGTTTGAGAGTGTGTAAAGCAGACTTATTAAGCAACCGTAAGAACCCGTTTTCCAATATGCCAGAGGAATATCCCTGGTGTTTCTATCTGAGGAGCTACAAATATGAAGAACGGCATCATGATGACTCTGACTTGCCTTTCATGGTCCTACTGGGAACTCGAGGCTTTTAAAGCTCTGTGAGAAACACAAAAGCTACTGGCCTGGATTGGGTGTAATGCTACATTTTTGTTTAGTGAAGAACTGGATAACCTTCCAGATGTGGTTGGATTCCAACAACATCTGGAGGGCCACAGGTCTTTGCTGCGATGTTTTGTACAAAACCTGTGAGCTCCTGTGTCTCCCTCTCCCTCTCCGTCAAGACCACATCAAGGTGACAGGACTCTTTCAGTTCTGCTTTCGCTTCGCTGCGGTTTAGTGTTACACCTCAACCCTAAATGGCAACTGACCACGGTTTACTGTAACAACCCAACTTTGCAAACCACAGTTTGACGCTGGCTTACTTCCCTGAACCGCAGTTAAGACGAACAACTGCTTGTCTGGGTTCAGATATAACGCTAAGCTGTGGTTAAGGGGGGAAACGGGAACGCTTCCAATCTCTTCCTCACAGCTTCACCCGAGGAGGAGGAGGAGGAGGAGGAGAAGGAGAGGAGACTATGATTTAGCATCGTGCAATCGTGACGTGGGTGGCGCTGTGGGTTAAACCACAGAGCCTAGGACTTGCCGATCAGAAGGTTGGCAATTCGAATCCCCGCCGCGGGGTGAGCTCCCGTTGCTCGGTCCCTTCTCCCGCCAACCTAGCAGTTCGAAAGCGTGTCAAAGTGCAAGTAGATAAATAGGTACCGCTCCGGCGGGAAGGTAAATGGCGTTTCCGTGCACTGCTCTGGTTCGCCAGAAGCGGCTTCGTCATGCTGGCCACATGACCCGGAAGCTGTACGCCGGCTCCCTCGGCCAATAAAGCGAGATGAGCACCGCAACCCCAGAGTCGGTCACGACTGGACCTAATGGTCAGGGGTCCCTTTACCTAATGCTAAATCCTAGTTTAGCGCTATGACCAAACACAGTCACAGAACTCCAATTTATCTCACCTCTCACATCTTTTGACAGGTATCTACCCCCACTCAATAAACGAAGACTTGGAAACAAATCAGAAGGAAAAGCCTGCTTATTTCTGGATCGATCCATCTCATACTATTGCAGCGAAGGGAGGCTGCGTGGGGACTGCCCTCAAATGCCGACCCACAGTCAACTGGCTGTCAAAACAGACTATTTTCCACAGGAGCCATCTAACACTTGCACAGCATAACCTGTTTATATTTAGGCAAAGCTTTTCCTCCTTCTTCAGGGCTTGCAGGAAATCTTTTCTTAGACACTTAAACAAACACACAAATACCGTCCCGGACTATTTCCCTGGATTCTTCCTTGTTACGTTTTCTCTCCTCCTTTCCACTCCCAAATTTCATCTCTTTGTCCCTCTCTTTAAGGATGATGCCCCACAACTGGAGAGCGTTGGGAAGACTAGCAAGAGGCGGACGGACGAAGGAAGAGTCCTTCTTACCACAAATCTTGCAAAGAACATCTTTTCTACGCACATTCCGTCTCTCGTCCCCAGCTACCGCCTTTCCAGGGAGTATTGTTGATGAACTGCACCCGGTGACTCATTTTCAGTTATGAATTGAGCAATGCCTCGCTCATTGCCACTCACACCAAGCCAGAAGCAGATGGCTCTTTGAACCTTTCAACTCACCAGGTGTTTTAAAAAAAGGAAAAAAGAGGAACTGAGGTTGCTTCCAGATGACCTGTTTGTTGAGTATTCATCCTGATTTGTTTGCACCAAGTCTTCAGTAGGGACTGCTACCTGTCTAGGATTATTTAGCTGAGATTCTCACATTGCAGGGAGTTGATCTAGGCCAGGCTTCCTCAACCTCGGCCCTCCAGATGTTTTTGAGACTACAATTCCCATCATCCCTGACCACTGGTCCTGCTAGCTAGGGGTCATGGGAGTTGTAGGCCAAAAACATCTGGAGGGCCGAAGTTGAGGAAGCCTGACCTAGGTGAGCATTGGGGATCTTTCCAACTCTACAATTCTGTGATTCTACGATGGGTGGATCTCTGTATGTTCCTCTCCATTTCTGATTTTTCTGGTCTTAAATTGCACCCCCCCACACACATTTCCACATCGAATTGTGATAAAATTCCTCAGCATCCGAGTGCAAATTTCTCCGAATTCGCACATTCTTACATGCACATCTGCCAAACACACCCATTTTTGCAAAACGATTCCCCCGATGCAATGCAGTTTTTTTGTATGCTGTTTTCACTTAAATATGCATTTTTGTACAAATTACTTGGCTGGAGAACAGCACCACCCAGAGAAGTGTGACGTTTAAAGGTTGGGGTTGTGTTTTCGGTCCCAGAAATTGCAAATTTTGTAGCTTCACCCCTACAATCGAATTTCTCCCCCTTCTCCAGTTTGCGGGGAGGCCAGATGACAGGATCAAAGGGATTGCAAGGTCTCAGGTTCTAATCCCACCATTTCTAGGTAGGACTGAGAGAGGAACCCTTGAAGTGCTGCTGAATGTGGACAATACTGCAATACATGGGACCAATGACCTGACTCAGTAAAACACCACTTTCCACACCCTTAAATCCCTGGAAGAGAGGAGGGGATACTTTAGGGAAGAGCTGCGACAGAAGCTGTTCATGGTTAATTTCTATTTGGCAATGGAACACTGTACTAAATTACTGTACTCTTCGTGGGCATCAACAATGTCTCCAAAATTTTATACACATCTCTTAGGAAGACAGGCGAACTAATGCCTGTGTACTGGAAGAAGCAAAGATCATCCGTGTCGAAGCAATGATTCTTCAACATCAACTTCGTTGGACTGGTCATGTTGTTCGGGATGCCTGATTATCGTTTTCCAAAGCAACTACTCTATTCCGAACTTAAAAATGGGAAGCGTAATGCTGGTGGTCAACAAAAGAGGTTTAAAGATTCTCTCAAGGCAAATCTTAAAAAATGTAGTATAAACACCAACAATTGGGAAACACTGGCCTGCGAGCGCTCCAGTTGGAGAACAGCCTTTACCAAGGTGTCATGGGCTTTGAAGACACTCGAACTCAGGACGCAAGGGAAAAATGTGCTAAGAGGAAGGCACGCTTGGCAAACCCTCACCGTGATCAACTCCTGCCTGGAAACCTGTGTCCCCACTGTGGAAGGATGTGTGGATCCAGAACTTGCCTCCACAGTCACTTATGGACTCATTGTTAAAACTGTGTTATCTTACTCGGCTACGAGCGATCGCCAAAGAAGAGTTAGTAAACCCTTCTAAACTACTACGGTTGTTTCAAGTCCCACTCGTGGGTGTTCTGCAAGCTGTTATGGTTTCGTTTTTAACAAGCGGAATACAGAAAATCAAAACGAATGCTAATGGACATCAAACTGATGGCTTGGGAGCTTTCTATCTGCCACTTTAACAATAAGGGTTAAGATGTCAGCAAGCACACAGATTTCCCTACATTGTGGTTGAGTGGGGTGGCAATTTTGATTCTTGCCCCCATGGCCCCAGTCTGTTCAGTTCCCTGAAAAAGTGGGGTACCCCCGTCAGCTGACGCCTGCAATGTGGGAGGGACGAAACCCCTTTTATCGGCTCCCTCTTTCCCCACAAGGTCGTGGAAAACACAAGGCAGCAGCTATAAAGGCAAACATCCTGGCAGGAAGAGGAAATGTTTCCTATAGAAAGGGAATTTTATGTTTCCTGGCTGAGGGAACTTGCATCAAGCAAGACGGGGGCGGGAAGGCGATTATATACATCCTCTGCCTATATCGCGAATGGGGTTGTCCCATTTTGCTGAGGGAGATTTGGCGGTCAGCCTTGAACCAAGATGAGCCTGTGTTGTGCGCAGCACCAAATCAATAAAGCACAAAATGAGACCAAGGAAAATAGGCTTTCTGGTGAAGGGTTGGGTGAATTTGCCCATTTCGGCTTCCTTGTCTTCCAGCTCATCACATTTTTTCACGTGCTCAATAAATGAAGAAAAATCCTCATGAAAACCCAACCGCGTTTTAGTGCTGATTTCCTAACAAGCAAGCAATTTCTCCCACAAAAATGCGTATTTTCACATACAGTGGTACCTTGGGTTACAGGCGCTTCAGGTTACATGATTTCGGGTTGCGCACCGCGCTGAGCTCGGAAGTACTGGAACGGGTTACCTCCGGGTTTTGGCACTCGCGCATGCACAGGAGCACTAAGTCACACTTTGCACATGCGCAGAAGTGCCGAATTGTGACGTACGCATGTGTAGACGCGGTACGGGTGGTGAACATGCCTCCCGCACGGATCATGTTCGCAACCCGAGGTTCCACTGTATATGGCTATGCTGGCAATGCCTGATGGGAGTTGTAGTCCAAAATCTCTGGAAGCCAACAGGCTGGTGCAAAGCTGATTTATAGTCTGGCCCCAGGAATTGTATTCTCAACCGACAGAACTCTGGGTTTTGAAACTGCTGGTACTTTGCCTGTCGTTTTGAATTTATTATTTGGATTTATTCCCCCCCCCCATTTGTACTCTGCGTTCTCTGTGGCAATTTGCTGAGATGCATAACGAATTGCGTGATTCCCAAAGTCATCATGCGTGACAACTTTTCTGAAGCAACAACAACAACAGACCATTTAAGGGCATAAACCCACTTTCACTTACCCATTTAAAAACTATTCAAGTGTACACAGGGCACCAGGAAAGCGGTTAAGTGAGAAACGGACACCATCTGAGTATATTCTACCAATGTTTTCATTGCTTCCCCCCGCAGACACTATAATGGATTTCCCATTTGAAATTACAGTGGTGCCTCG